GATGGCGAGTGTGATGGGAAACTAGGGGAGTGTGAGTACCCAGGAGGAAGCAGGGCTCTGAGCCAAGACTAGAAAGCAAAGCCCAGGGTTCTCAGGGCTGATTAGCTAACCTCCTGGCCCATGGGTCTCTGGAGAAATTGGGGAAGCCTTTTGGAATGGACATTTTGCTTAGAAGGCCGTGTTGCTGCCCATGAGAACATATCAAGCTGATACACAAATGTGTTTTATAGGAAACTGCGTATAGGAAAGGAATAGAACATTATGCATGAGAAGGAAAAAAAAAGAAAGAAAAGAAAGCAAATATAAGTTCAAGCCCAAACGATGGAGAAGAAACATTGACAGACTGTTTTGAAGCATTCAACTACAATGAACTCCCAGTAACTCAAAATAGTGTTGAAGAGATCTGATCTGGATAAAAACTTAAAGTATACGTTAATTTTCAAAGTAAACATAAACTTATTATTTTAAGGCATATTCCTTAATAGTTAAATAGCTGAGGAAAGAAGTAGGAATCCCCCTGGGATTGTTTAAATGCCTAGTGGGAAAAAAAGATTGTAATTAGGTCAATTAATTGTTCTTATAATAAATGCTGCTAAAATTACTTTAAGTACCTAAAAACAGCTGGCTTTTTTCAGAAGGCTAAACATGATTTTGGCATTTGTGAATTTATGAATCTTATTTTTTTAAATATTGCTTTGACAGATTTTGACTATTTCTTGAAATTATTCTATACTCTTTCTTTTTGGTAAGGTGAGAAAGAATGTTCTCTTACTCCATGTGGAATACATTAGTTTATTGTACCAATAAAAATAAAACAACGGTTCCCCTTTATTTTGTATTTACTAGGTACTAGGCTCCGTTCTGATCTCCTTTGGCATATGCCTCTTGAGATTACATGTTTTTTGAACTGATAATCTCCGCCCACCAAAAAAAAATTAAAAGAAATAAAAGGGCATAGAGTGAGGTGTACATAAATTTAGTCTTCTTTCCGTTCTTGTTCCCTCATCTTTCCCCAGAACCCATGACAGCTCACCAGTCTCTTATATTTGCCTTCCAAGATGTGCTGAACATTTAAAGTACAGTAACTCATGTAATCCTCACTACAACCCTATGTGGTTGTAGAGAAAATATCCTCTACCCTTCTAGGTTCTGCCAGCTGGTTTAATAATTAAATCAATATGAGATAGATCAGGGGTCGGCAAACTGCGGCTTGTGAGCCACATGCGGCTCTTTGGGTAAGTCATGTGGCTCTGCAGTAAAATTGAAAATGAAAATAAAACTATCATAGTTTCATCTATAAAAATTTTAAAGGCTATTGTTCACATAATGGTGATTTCATTTGTTTTATGGCTCTCGAATAATTTTTAAATTGCTGTGAGGGACAGGATTGGCTCTTCCGTCTCAAAAGTTTGCCGACCTCTGAGATAGATTCACAAGAGAAAATTTCCAAATTTAATTATTTATGTACATACGGAAACCCCAAATATACAAGAGGCTCAGAGACAGAAAATCAAAATGAGGTATATATGGCACGCTGAGCTATGGATAAGGTAAGATGCACATGTGCTTTGTTCGTCCTGCCCTATGCATAGGTCATAAAAAATTACCTCTGGTAATAAATTTCATTATGAGAAAGTCTTTAATTTATATTCTTTAATGGAGAGGTAAAAGTTTCTCATGAGCCCATGGGGTCTTGATTGCTTCAGCTCAAAATAATTCATGTACCTAAGTGGAACATCCTAGGGAGGCCTGTTCTGAACTCTTTCATAATACTTACTACAACCCTATGTGGTAACCACTATTATCATCTTTATTAATAGATAAGGGAACTGCAGCACAAAGCGTACTCGCCAAAAATCACAAGAAAATAGGAGAACCTGGATCAGAACTCACATCTGTTTCATCACTGCTATACTTCCTTCCCATTATCTTCACTCTAGATGGACTCAAAGACTGGATGCTACTCTCTTCCCTCCAGCCCCCCCTCCAACTGCCCACCCTTCAGGGCCCTACTCAGAACAATAATAATAGCATTTATTGAGTGCTTACTGTATGCCAGGCACTTACATAACACCATCTTATTTAATCCTCACAACAGCCCGATAAAGTATGTGCTATTATTATCCTCATTTAACAGAAGTGAAACTAAGACTTAGAAAGTCACACAGCTAGTAAGTGGCAGAGGAAAAACTCAGATAGGACGATCTGATCTGAGGTCCTTACCCCCTCAGCTCAGACCCACCCACCCCAATAGTGATTTCACTCCTCTCAGGAGAGCCTTAACACAAACCGAGGTGATATCTGCTTGCAAATTGTCCTGTATTGTTTGTTCTTTGGCAATTCAGCATCCTAGATTCTTCTCTTTCAACTTTGCTGTCTAATCCTGGAGAGCAAAGGCTATTTTTAAGTCTTGGTCATAATGCCTAGCAAATATCTGGCCAACAGGAAGTGTTCAATAAATGAGACCTTACAAAATAAAACAAGAAAATGGACTAATGAAAAGTGAAGTCTTTAAACTTCTGTCTGGAATGATGTAGTCAGGATATTTAACTTTTGAAAAATCAAATATATGTGTGCTAGAAAAAGTGAGAGAGGAAAAAGGGCAATTTAGAGAGTTCAGCGATCCTGTCTGCCACAGCTCTCCCAGTTCACGCCTCTGTGTGGGGTGCACTGGGAGGCTGGAACCTGCCTTTCCTGGACGGGTCTCTATTCCAAGGGCTTCTCAGATCGTAATGTAAACCTTCTCTCTGAATGTGGCTCGACTGCTTCAGTGTGCTGGCTATTTCTTTTTGTTTTTTAATACAACACAGGCTCTAAATACAAGTAAACTATATCATCTGGCGTTCAACTAAGGACATTGAACTAGGTTCAAATGCTGGAAGAAAATTTGACTATCTTATCTGACTTTTAGGGAAATTAAAGGGATTTTAACTCAAGCATAAACAGTTTTTACTTTTGAAGCCTAACCCCAATCTAAGAATTGATTACAATGTACCTAAGGATACAGGATGGTCCCTAACCAGAAATACTTCAGATCCTTTTGGTTCACATTCTAACATCAGGCAAATAAACTTGAAAACTACTTTCCACAGTGAAAAAAGATCTGTGTATGAAATGAAGTTGTTTTGGTTTTTTCTCTCTCCAGAAACATTGTCTTGACTTGCAAACCTGGTAATCACAGGTGTGGCCCCTGTTTCAGAGAAAGACAGAGGCAATGCAATCTCTGGTGGGTCATGAACTTGGAAGTAAAAAGGACTCCTGCCGGGTGGAAGATTGGGTTAGCAGTTCTCTAAATTTCCTCCCAAACCTCACACTCTGTGATGGTATTCCAACAGCCCTAAGGCTCTTGTGGAAAAGGTCTTCTGAATAATTTATGGCCTCTTACTTCCTTTAACCAAACACATTGGCTGCTCTCCAGAAGGCTGATTCTTCTATTCCTTTTGGAAACAATAGGCTACTAGATCATCAACGACAGGACACTGCAGGCCCTTTCACGGTGCTGTGGGGACCACTGCCTGGACCAGCAAGGAACAAATTTAACCTGCTGATTCTGGAGTCACCCCACTGACTTATTGCTCACGTCTGCCTCTTGGTTAGGTCAGCGTACAACAAGGAGTATGGTAGTTAAACGTAATAAGGATTAAGTTAACTGAGAGTGTTTGAACCCTGGAATCCCAAGCAGGAGTAGAGGTTTATTGTGGAGCCATTCCTGAAAGCAGAACAGACACCTGGAGCTCAGACACAGGGCCTCCAATTGGGAAGGAGGACACCAGGATGGGCGATGAGGATTGGCTGGGGAAGGCTCCCAATCCCTGCCTCCAACTTTGGGGCTGCCTGCTCATCTCTTTAAAGCCATCTTTGGCTTGTTGTGATCCATTTTTTGCTTTTCCAATAAATGGCTTTCTTGGCCTGTGACCTCCTCCCCACCCAGAGACCCTCAGCTAATGTTCTCTTCCCTTCTCAAGGGCATATGAAGCTAGATTGCCATGAATGGGCTTAAAAAGCCATCTTCTCTAACAACCCCCTTGCCTGTACTCCCCCTTTCCACCCACCTTTTCAACCCTAACCTCCAAATCTGAGCGTGCTTCCTTGTTGGAGGAGAAAGGCCAATCCTGTAATTTCTCTGCCCAATAAGCTTTCTATTTATCAAGCTTCAACCCAGGTATCATTTCCTTCTGGAAACCCCTCCACCCCAACTTCCAATACTAGCCCCAATTTCCACCCCACTTAGGTCCACACTCCTTCCTTGCTCCCATGGCACCTGACACTTTGCTCTGTTTGGGACACAGTCTGTGTACTTGTCTGCCACTGAGCTGTTACCTCAATAATTAGGTTTTATTCATCCTCGCCCAGAGTCACCCCAAACAGTGTTGTGGGAGAAAACTGACCTGCATGGAGAGTTTTCTCTTTCCACCTTCCTGGACTTTTTAAATCATGTATTTCATATGCAGGCACACCTCAGAGATATTGTGGGTTCTGTTCTAGACCACCGCAATAAAGCGAGTATCTCAGTAACCTTTTTGCTAATGGAGGGTCTTGCCTTCAGTTTGTAAAAAGTGCAACACCTGTGAAGCACAATAAAGTGAAGTGCAATCAAACGAGGTACGCCTGTAAACGGAAAAATGGAATAGTACATAATGAGCCCTTGTTTACGCAGGTTTCCCTAGCTTGAGTAATTGCTTACACCTTGCCATATTTATTTCACCTGTTCTTTTTCCCATGTCTATATAAGTAAATATCAGACATAATAGAATTTCACCCCTAAATACTCATGTATGCATCTCTATAAGGACATTTTTTGCCAGCACCATAACACCACACACCATAGTACCATTATCACACCCATATTCATGTTATGATGCCTAATGAAAGAAATACTAGCTCCCAAATATCACCATTGTCCCCAGAAGGCTTTTTGTAACAACTGGTTTATTCAAACTAGAATCCACTCAGGGACCACATATTGGTTGGTCCATGACTGACTTACAAGAGTCCCTTCCCCCTTTCAACGGTTATTGACGTGTTGGGGAAATCTGGCCAATTCCATTCAAAGTCCTTTCATGGTGCTGTTGAACTTCGCCAAACTTCTGAAGTGGGGCTCACCTAAGGAAAAATCACAGCCACCACTGTAGGGGTCTTCTTCACATCAGGGACCCTCACCCCAAGCACAACCCTCAGGGCACTAACGCTCAAGACCTTCCTGGTGCTCTGGCATCTGCTTGGATCCCCTTTCCTGTCTTTAGCGTCAGCTGCTGTGAGCCTTCCAAAATAGCAGGACCCTGTAGCTCTCCTTACAGCCACCAGCAACAACTACAGGAAGCCCCAGTGCCCAAAAAACAGGCTGGAGACAAGAGTCTTTGACCTTGGGGCCCTGGGTCTTTATTAGGAGCAGCAGCAGCCAGCCTTCATCATTTTGGAATGAAGCGAAAACTCCCTCCTCCCAACTTCCATGAACTCAATAAACCTCTTATATTCATCCCAGAAAAACAACCTGTTTTCTAAGTGATGTAAGATCCAGCAGCGCCACTCCCACCCCCTTGCCCCAGACTGATGGTCTATCTCCAGGCAGAAAATCTTTCACATTGGCTGCTCCTGCTGCGGCAGCGGGGAAGAGACGTTTCCATTGATGTGACTGAGAAATGGGAGGGATTTGGGCACTAGTCTCTGCCATTAATGTCAATAGGAAATTGTCTTGCCTTTGGCGGGGATACTGCAGCAAATCAGCCAGAAAGAGCAGGAACTACTTTTCATTTCAGAGGGTGGGGGAGAGTGGGCAGCTCAGGCCGGGAGAAAGTGGAGCTGGTAGGAACAGCTGTGTGTTGAGATCAGAGGCCCTGGGCCAAGGGCAGAGAACACGCAAATTCCAAGCACAAGGACGATTCTTAAAAGTGTAAATTCGTCTTTAAGCCAAGAGTTGTGGAGGAGTGAAGTCATGTCAGAGGGGGTGCAGGCAGCTAGAAACCAAACCCTGAGGGACAGTTTCTTGCAGCCTGATATGAAAATCTAACTGTTGACCTTGGCTCATTGGATTTCTCCTTGTGGTTATTATTATTTTTAATGAAAAAAAGAACTCTCCAACGGCTAGCTACATTTCTAGTGGTGGAGTAGGTCCCATTTTATTCTTTCTGAGCGTGGTAAAATGCTTGATTGGTAATGAAGGGGAGAAAAGAGAGGACTTTATACTTTTACACAAAATTCTCCACGTGAGGGGTCAGTTACAACCTTTTCATTTCCTGGCTCTTCCTTTTAGTGACTGTTACCTTTTCCTTTTTTGCCTTGAGGCTCCCCTCCCCTGTCCCCCTCCCCT